TTCTACTTTCCGCATTCACTAGAAAGCAAGTGCTTGAAAATTCAACCATACAATTTTATGTACTAAGAAAGATAGTAGTTAAAGTTACTAAGAAATACTCATTTACAAGATCCCTAACTATGGCCAGTGAATAGTGAAAATATTTACAATGTGCTTTGGCTTGAGCAGAACATGACTAATGAGCTCATAGACCATTCCAGACCAGCCTATCTATCTGAGCAATTGCTGCATATCCCCAGATATCATCACTGAATTGATGTTTAAAAAGCACAAAATTGTTTGCCAGTGATTTGCAGCGGGTTTGGAACAGAATTGGAAGTTTTCTTTCCCCACGACCTACTCTTTCCTTTCCTCTTTTTTTTTTCTTTTTGCAATACTAAGCATTGAAAGTAGGAACTTGCTTATAGTAAGCAAGCAAGGGTTCTACCACTGAGCTATATACACTAAGCCCAAGGAGTGTTATTTCCTGATTGCATTTTTGTAGCATTGCCAAAAAGTGCAGCTAGCTGACCGCAATCTAGTAGACTTAGCAGACATCAGAGCCTGGAGCGCTGGAAAGGATGGAGAATAAATGTGCAGGGAGATGTGGTAGGTTGGGGAAGGTAGGTAGGGCTTAGTGAAAGGACACCATATGGTAATCAGACCACTTTGTGTTATTAAACTTCAGATAGCCAGACAAATCCCTAGACTCTATAGATTATACCTGCTTTTAATTGGGCACTACAAGGTTGATCCTGAGTGTTGTGGGAGCAAGAACAAATACAGGGAAGAAACAGAAGGACAGTCACGCATTGGTTCAAATGTTCTTCTGCACATAACTCTGATCTCAAATACCATGGGACAATTACAAATAACTCTTTGAGAGGAAATTATTATAAAGTGATTAATGAGGGTACATTGATATTGCATTTATGGAAGGTTGCATGCCTCCATCAAGAAGGTAATTTTAAAAATCTGTTAGCAGTTAGCTGGATTTAATGACATTCTTATATTAATCACTGTGATCTCAGATATGTCCATATTTTTTACAATAGTCCATTGGGAGCTCTACAGAAATGAGAATATGCCTATGGGGAAGTATCAGGCAGAGGGATATCAGCAGAAGACAAGAGTAAGAACTGCTCTTCCCAGTCCTGAAAGCCTTGGCTCAACATCTTTTCTGTAGAAAACACTCAGGTATTTGCAAGGAAAGGCTACCAATGAGATTTATGAAATCTCTAATTTACTGGCATCAAACTATTAACTGTGGGTTCCATAGCCTTCCTTATTCTCCTTAGTTATCTTAATTTTCCCTCCACTTATTACCATTGCCAAGACAAACAGCAAAAGTTTCTCAAGTAAATTCTTAAGGCAATTAAGGGTGAACTAAAAACTGTGGGTATATTTTTGATGAAAAAACAATGTCTGTGTTTGTGTAGAAAGGAGAGAAACCTGGAGTTGGGGACGCTTGAGTAAAGGAGAATCTAATAATGGCTGTGCATTATCTACTTAGCCTCTTCTGCACACACACGCACACACACAGCGCACACACTGCATCAATGTGTGGGCTGCATAAATGTGGTCAGTCAGAAGCTAGAGCAGGACATCAAATTTTTTATTTTCTGCCATAAAGCCTTGAGACAGGATTTCTCACTGAATTGGAAGTTTGCTGTTTTGGTTTGACCAGCTGCCTGGCCAGCAAGCTCTTGAGCTTCTATTATCTCTATCTCTGATGCTGGGGATACAGGCACATACAATCATGCTCAGTTTTTTTTTTCATGTGTGTGTTGGGGATTCAAACTCAGATTAATGCTCATGTCTGAAGAGCAAGCACTCTTATGCCATCTCCCCAGCTGGCATGTTTTAGAGGTATTCAATCACAAAGATTGATGGTCATGTTTCCTTAATCCAACATTTATCTGGGACAGGCAAGTGTCTTAAAACTTGGGAGCTGGAGGGGCTTCTCATGTGGAGGCTGTTGTTGTTTTATAAACACAAAACCAACCAGGCCATCTCATTACAATAAAGTGTCTCAGTTCTCTGAGATTAGAAACAGAGTGTGTGGATGACAGTGGGAATATGGTGCAAACGGGAGGACAAGGAAATCCAATTCTGGCTCTTGTAATAATAAGAATAAAGATTAGTTTCAGGCATGATACCCTGGGAACTCCGGCTCATTTTGTTTCTCAAACAAAAATATATTAAAACAAAAAGTTCAGGTGCCTCTGTCATGAACAAGGAGAGAAAAATCACTCACGAAAATTTCCCTTTCTTTCAGAGAGATTAGCTTTAGGAATTGAACCAATCTGACAACTTTATATGAAGGATGCAACTTCTGACCTGTGTGTGGTAAGACTCTTAGAGAGTGACAGAGACTTCATCATGGATCTCGGTCTCTCAATCAGCACCCTGCATCTGCCTTGACCTATCTATCCTTTTTCCATTTCTTTGGTCATTTTCTGATTTGAATATTTTATAAATAAGATGATTTATAGTGTCAAAATGCAGTTAAGAAAGTGCTGTGTCTGTCTATTACAGATGATGACTAGAGTCACTTCACAGGTAGATAGCTTTGCTACAGCCACTGGGGAGTCTGTTGGCCCTGGGTTACAAGAAGCCCAGGGGTAATGAGTAATGAGTTGGCTTTAGGGGTGTGATGTGATGTCTTCTTCCATGAAGGTAGACTTATTTTGTAGTATGTTTCCATTAGGATGTTCTCTCAATAGTGAAAACATGAACATTTTATTTTCAAAAAAATATTAAAACAAAAATTAACAAATATTTTCTCGACTTATGTTGCCTGTAAGAGACTGGTATTTGGAAATCAAAGTTATTGTTATGTATTGATCTTTATTTTGACTTTGTAGTCCCTCTTTATTACCTCATAAATGTTATTAAAAATTATTCTTTTGAGGCTGCTCCTGAACCTGTGTACCTCCCTGCTAAATCCAGCTAAACACTCCTCTTTGTGTTTACTGAAGCTTTGTGAAGGCTTGGGTATCATATTCCTTGAAACACTTTCTGTTTTAGCTTTTTATGCTGTAGATCCACCTTTATTTCCTGCATTTATTTGGCTTTTTATGCTGTAGATCCACCTTTATTTCCTGCATTTATTTGGCTTTTTATGCTGTAGATCCACCTTTATTTCCTGCATTTCCAGTCTGGCTCTTCTTTTTCAGTCTCCTTTGGTTATTGTTTTCTTGGGATCATGTCTTAAATCTTGATGTTCTAGATAGTAGCCTTCTTTTTCTCTGTTTATTTGCATTTCTTATTTTCTTCATAGGTCATCTATGTTAATTCCTTCAGTTATAATCTATGTGCTGGTCAGTTTCAAATGTTCACCTCTCGCCTAGGTCTTTGAGAAGAAGTAATTAGGCTTTGCACTAGTGTCTACATGTGGGTATACATGCATGGGTGTTGGAACCCACGGAGTCAGAAGTGGGTCGTACATTCTGCAACTCAAGCTACAGGCAGTTTTGAGCAACCCTGTGTAGGTATTGGAAACTGACTAAAGAATAGAATGCACTCTTAACTGCTGAGCCATCTCTTCAGCTCTGTAACCCAGATCTCCGACTTCAGATTCAATCTAGAAGTGATGCACCTATGGAATTTCCACTTGACCACCCCACAGGAATCTGTGACTCAGAATGCCACCAAATCATCTCATTCATGCTACAAAACTTTTTCCTATTAGCAAGTTTACTATTGTTTTACTTAGCAAGTTTACTTTTTGTACAAAAAAATTAAAAATAAAAACACGACAAATATCCACTTCTTTCTTCTTCCTTCCATATTTATTCAGTGACCAAGCCACATTAATACTGTTTGTTTGTGTTGCTCCTGATCTCATCTTTATTCTCATTTTATAACTTTGGCCTTGAACTTTTATAGTTCGGATTTCTGAAGCCACACGTGGCTCTGTTTCCCATCGTATGTCTTGTTTTCCATTCATAGTCCAAGGGCCTTTCAGAAGTGCAACTGTAATCACGCCATTGTCTTGTTTAAACATCCTTGAATGACTGCCCATTGCCTTTCTAATAAAATCCAACATGTTCTTCTTTTCTGGGCGTTTTGCTCACAGCTTCCTAGGCTGCACTGCTTAGAGGAGACGGACTGCAGCAGTACTTGAATCACCAGCTATTTCATGCTTGGCTTCATTTTGCTGAGGCTGCCAATTAGTGATTTAGAGGTGAACTTTTACGTGATCTGCTGTAAAAAGAGGTCTGCTTCAAACAGCCCTTAAAGAGCCTAGTCTTATTGTTACTAAAACTCTATACTGACTAGAACCTGTGACCCACAGTGATGTGTCTGTGTATCCCGTGGCCATCTTGTGATTCAGGAAGGTATGCCTTGGCTATTTATAATCTAGGCTAAAAGGAGACAGTGATGATATTTTAAGTGTAATATTTCAGATGGAGATGAGGGTTATTTTTGCTTCCATTCCTCTCTGCCTTATTGTTCTTCAGAGAGAAGTGAGTAATTTTCTTGGTTGTACTGAAGGTTACAGAATGGTGTATGAGTGCCTACCCTGTTTTGATTTGGGGAGAGGAAAATAAAAACAGCAAGGTGTGATCAGACTAGCAGGGAAAATCCTTACTTCTGGTGATTCACAAATTACCCTGTCTGTTCGCCATTTCAAATAGAGGGATGGAACACGGAATGGAAAGAAAATTAGAGTGGACATACTCAGGCACAAAAATTCTACTCATAAAAATAAAGAGGGATCAGTAAAGAAAGACATAAGTATCAAAGATTCACATAATAGAAATGTAAATAAAGTAATGCAGACAGATTAGATGCAGAGACAAAAGAAGGGGGATTTTTTTTTCTTGTGAAAAATCCATATTTTTCTTCCATGTTAGAATTATCTGTTCAGCTGATAAATAAAATAAGGTTTATACAGGGTCAGTGATGAGATAGTTACCAAGGGCAAACTCATTCCCTCTACCTGTTGTTCTTGCCTGTGGCCCAAAAGAAATTATGATTGTCAGGGGAAGAAAGACCAAAATTATGCATCTTACACAAGAATGTCCTCCACCAGCGTGTGAAGGGCACTGGGATTGCGGATCAGTTTGTCAAGGAAGCCGACGATGTCAGTAAATTTTGGCCTGTGGTTTCTTTCTTTCTGCCAGCAATGGAGCATGAGCTGATGCAGAGACGGTGGGCAGCCCATCGGAGCTGGAAGTCTGTAACCTTCTTCAATGGACAAAATAACCTAAATGCAAACATACACAGATCACTCTCTTACTTTGGTGACAAGAGGTGTGTTAAGCAATAGCATCTTTATATGCAAGCAGTGAAAACCAGAATACCAGTAAGCATGAAAAATACTTAAGATGCCACGCAGGGCCCAAGCAAAGCTAAATATCTAAGTTCTGAACAGGAAGTGCTCGTAATTCAATAGCATCTGCTGCCCCTTCTGGGGAGAAAATGTGCTGTAAGTATACGCTGCTGGTGTACACATAGTTAAGCTACATCATCACAGTCTGAAAAAACAGCTTCTGTGTACATTTGCTGGACTATCTGAAACCCTGATGCCAACATCAGAAAGGTAACATGATTACTTACAATAAAGTCAGTGTGTTTTTTAAGCCCACTGTTCTCTCTTTGTTGTTTATTTTGGATCTCCTCATTGACTTTGGATTTTCCTTTATTCTGATACTAACCTGGCAGTGAAAGAGTTTTGCCATAAGCCCTAAGATAGTTCATAGTATGAAATGCTAACAGAGGTGAGAATCAAGGCCTAAAAACACAGGAGCATTCATCCGAGTGCGTACAGGTTGTCCTCTGGTGAGAGAGTGGCTCTCTCTGTAGGACATGGTAGTGATTAGATGTGTGTGGCCACTGTGTAGCTAGCAGTGCTGAGGGATTGAAATTTTGATCTGGATTAATTTTAGTTCACTCAGTTTATTTTAAACTCCCACTTCCTGTCCAGCTCTAGATAAAGGAATCCATGGAAGAATCAAGAATGACAAGGGGATGACTGCCTGGTGGTTAGAATCTACCTAAGGCTATTTCACATAGGCCATTTCCTTGTTGAAAGTATTATCTGCCAGCTCCTACCATGAGGAATTTCCTTGAGATGGAAAAAAATCAATTCTGAATTCATATAGATTAGCTTTTGAAGAACAGATCAAAGGTAGTCATTTGAACCTTCATTTTTGCATCATCTATGGGGGAATAGTTTTTTTAACCAATTTTAAAGCAGGGAAGCTGAGGATCAAACATATTTAAAACAGACATCAATCAAATCCACCCCCTAACAAGAACCAAAATATAAAACTCAATGTTAACCTTGCTTTGTTAAGAGTTCTATTGCAGGACCATCTACATGTATTCTATGAAGTTTTTTTTTAATACTGACGTCTCATTTTAATTTCTTCTTAAATTGACACATTTGACAGACTAAAATATTCTTTTTTTTTTAAGGAGGGACTGTGGCTTCCTCTTTATTGGACACGTTGTAGATGACACACAGATCTACAGTTAAATAATTATTAAAATATCGACCAGGACTTCAGCCCTGGCTCAGGGCTCAAAACCAGAAGCAATAAGGAATGGGGGTGATGGGCTGGCAGTATACCCCCAACATCACCAAAACCCATAAAACAAGGCTCTTGAATCCTTCCGGGGCCAGACCCGGGCTTGCGCCCTTGGGGTAACCCAGGGACCCCTGGCTGCATCTCTCAGGACAAGGTTGCCAGTGAAGGTCTGGAGGGAACAGCCAGCCAAGTCCAGACACAGATCCAAATGGAAGGAAGATGGGAAACGGACAGCTGGAGATAAGATGCAGCAAAGGCAGACTGAGGGGAGAGGCTGGGGCAGTATTGCAGCAATGCGGGAGTGCAGCCCCAGGGTCCTGTCCTGAGTGGCTGGTCAGGTGTCAGCTGGCAGTCTCCAGATGGCATTCCTGACCCAAGCCTGGCTGAGGGCTCACACGTTGTGGGTCCTCTTGGTGAGCTGGGGCTCCTCATCTACCAGCTTGGATTTGAGGTGCTCCTTGTAGGCCAGGATGTCTCCAGGCCACTTGGTGATTGCTTCTCACAGACCCAAATGTCCTGTGCAACCTGCTGGGTGAGTCTGAAGTCGTGGCTGACTAGCATCATGCCACCCTCAAACTCATTGATGGCATCTGCCAGTGCATCAATGGTCTCGATGTCCAGGTGATTGGTAGGCTCATCCAGAAACAGCATGTGAGGGTTCTGCCAGGCCAGCCAGGCCAGACACACTCGGCACTTCTGCCCATCCGACAGGTTCCGGATTGGGCTCACCTGCTGTTTCCCAGTGAGGCCATATCTCCCAATGATCTTCCTCATCTCCTCCTTCTCCTTGATCTCTGGGTAGCACTTCATCATATACTCCAATGGTGAAAGGTCCAGGTCCAGCTGCTCCTGTAAGGGCTCATGGTAACGTCCTATCTTGACGTGAGAATGCTTCCGGATCATTCCATCTGTGGGTAGAAGCTCTCCAGTTAGCAGCTTCAACAGAGTGGACTTCCCTGCACCATTGGGTCCTACCAGAGCCACTCGTGTGTCAAGGTCAATGCCAAACTCTAGATTATTGTAGATGCAAGGCCCGTCTTTTGTATACTTGAAGCTCACGTTCTGCACCATAATGACAGGTGGTGGGATTTTACCACATGGTGGGAAATAAAATGACAGCGTCTTGTCACTCACAACTCTTTCAGTCAGTCCCGATGCCATCATTTTCTGTAGCGTTTTCTCTTTGCTTTGAGCCTGCCGGGCCAGCTTGGCACGTCCATGGCCAAACCTGGCAATGTAGTTCTTCATGTGTGCAATCTGGTCCTGTTCCCAGTGAAACCTCTTCATCTGGTTCTCCTCACATACTGATCATAATTACCCGTGTAATATTTCAGTTTCTTGTTGTGCATGTGGATGATATTGGTACAGACCCCATTCAGAAAGTCCTGGGAATGGGACACGAGGACCAGGATGCGCTTGAAAGTCTTAAGTTCCTCTTCCAGCCACACACAAGCATCCAGGTCCAGGTGGTTGGTAGGCTCATCCAGAAGCAGCATGAAGGGCCGAATAAAGAGGGCTCTGGCAAGAGCAACTTGCATCCGCCAGCCACCACTGAAGTCTTTCAGCTTCTTGCGCTGCATGGCAGGTGTGAAACCCAATCCACGTAAGATCCTTGAGGCCCTCATCTCGGCTTTGTCGGCGTCCAGCTCTTCCAGCCGCTCATAGAGCTCCATGAGCTTCTCACACTCCGCAGCCTCGTGAGCTAAGCGCTCAGCCTCCCTCTCCAGCATGGCCCGCTCTGTGTCCACCTCCATCACACACTGCAAGGGTGTTTTCTCGCTAGGAGGCATCTCGCGAGTCAGATGGTAGATGTCTATGTGCTCAGGGATGGGCACTTCACGCTTCCCAATAGCAGAGAGCAGCATGGACTTTCCAATTCCATTTAAGCCAATGAGGCCATAACGACGGCCTGAGTTTAGTTCTAGCTTGGTGTCACTGAGCAGCTCTTGACTGTGAAAGGTGAGAGAGAGGTTGATGATGTGGACGTCAGTACTGTTGGGGTGAGAGGCCAGGAAGCCCGTGACAGCGCGAGCAGCAGCTTTCTTCATCTCAAAATCCTCTAGCTCCTTGGTCAGCAAATCCACTTCTGTGGCCTCTCTGCCATTGGCCTCCTCATTTTTCTCCTCTGTCACCTGAGGTTCTGTGACAGCGTCTCCATTTTCTTCATGTCCCTTTTTGGGCCGCTGTCGAGCTTTGGCAGCTTCCTTCTTTTTGGCTGCCTTCTTCTTGGCCAGGTCGGAGGGCATGGTGATGAGGCTCAGGGGTAGTTACTGTTCTTTCAGGAGTCTCAGCCGGCCGCCTCCTTTTCGGGTCTTCGCCAGGAGTTCGTCCCGGACCTCGCTTTGGTCGCTCCCCTCCACCCCACCGACTGCGGCGCGGTTTCTTCCCGGGAGCCACGCGTCCTCCGCGACGGATCCCAAAGGGTCTCCGCGCTCGCTGTCCCTAACCTCCCCCACAACCCGCGCGTCTCCGTCTCTGCCTGGGCCAGTTCTTTTCCCTTTAGGCCCTTTCCATCCTGATCCTGATTTCCCTTCCGCTTCTCCTCCCGCTTCCTGCTCACAGGTCCTCACTCTCCTCCCCTCCGGCTTCCCTTCCCCCCTAAAATATTCTAAATATATGTCAGATGCAATTTGTAAAACAGAAGCATTAATATCTCTTCAGGATCCTCGTAATTGCTAACTTTCAACTCTTTCAGTATCAAAGAATTTCTTAGGATATTTTTGTGTCCGTAATACTTCGCATGTGTGCATCTGATGTCCTGTGTACAGGTATGAGGAAGCCAGGCATTGACTTCAGCTATCTTCTTCTATCATTGCTTACCTTATGATTTTGAGGCGGGGTCTCTCACTGATCTTCGAGCTTGGCCAGATTAGCTGGCTACTGAGTCCCTGCCATCCAAGTTTTTCTCTTCCATCCCAGCGCTGGGGGTATGGATATGTTCTTGTCATACTCAACTTTATACATGATGCTGGGGCTCCAAACTCAGGTTCACATGCTTGAGCAGCAGGCATTTTACTCATGGATATTTCTCCCAGTCCCAGAATACTTTAATCTTTATGGATATTAATATTTACTATCATTTTTATGCTACATTATTGAATATTATTGTTTCTCATCTCTCCTTCCTTCCTTCTTTCCTTCCTTCCTTCCTTCCCTCCTTCCCTCCTTCCCTCCTTCCTTCCTTCCTTTCCAACTGCTTTTGGTACCAAATGGTCTTGAGATAAAGTCACTTTGTTGCATGTTTTAGTGAAATACAAATGGATAAAAATGCTTGAAATCAATCAAAACTACTGTGAATGGTTTCTGGAAGTAATTATAAGAATAGGACAGAATGATTTAGAGAACAATTTTGAGGTTGTTCCCTGGGAGCATGAGAGCCAATTTGCCACAGTTATGTGAGGATAAATGCATGAAATAAGACATTGACAAGTGAGGTCATATTGGGAGGAAAAGGTTGCCTTTATTGAACACTTTCTATGTGCTTGGTCCTTATACTTTTTTGTTTACTGCCTAAAATTACCCAGGATGGTGGTTACTATTATCACTACTTTTTAACATCATAAAAAGAGAGGCAGGGAGACTTGCCTAGATTCACATGTCATTATGTGGCAGAATTAGGACCTGTATTTAATCCTCTTGACTTCCAGATGTCTTCTCTGTTATTCCTGTTAAA